TCAACCGACGGGCAATGTTAGCTGATATAGGATGGATCAGGTTGGAAAAGAGCTAGTAGTGGTCAAACCAAAACATGGCTTCCTCAGTCAATGAAATCCACAGCAGTTAGTTTAAGCCAGTCACGTAGGGAGGTGTAGACTGGCTGGGCGGTTGGGTTCCTCGGGACGGTAGGAACTAGTGAAGGCTGGAGATAATTGTTGATATGGCTCAAAATCGTTCTCAATGGCTGGTGGAGATGCATTCACTCTTTGTGACTTTTGTGTTATATCTAATAAAACTATATTGTTCTTCGATATTACTATTCTTTTTCCTCACACTCCTGTGTATTAGCTGTCTCTTTTGAATATCTCTTTACTCCCTTCTCCTGTTATGTGCTACATGGAATGTGGCAGCATGAACTGCTGAACATCTGTGCAAAGTTCTATGTTGAAACCAGTCAGTCAAGCAGTGTAATCTAAAAGCACGAGTGAGTGTTAGTCGCTACACAACTTTGTATTGCATATTTAGTTTTTGCATCATTACTATTGGAGTTAAACTACAATTCCACACAATCGCCTGGAATATATGTAAAAGGAGCATTCGAAATATCTTGAAACGTTTTGTGCACATTGGTACGCAATCCTTAAGATTCCTAACTAAGTTATTAATGACTGATGGGTGATCGTATACAAATGATTGACTTGATTTAAAAACTAACTCGGCTTTTCGAGTCGGAAGTCGGATATTTCCTTTTGAGAACTGTGGATTAAAACCTGTCGTTTATATATAGACCGGTTGATTATTCGTTTATTTAAAGGAATGGTTATTGATCACGTATCAAAGTGGGATCTAGAAAGACTCATATCGGCTAGTCAAGAAAAAGACAATGAAACGTAAGACAAAAAAGTATAAACATAGACTAGAATTTTTCATATATCCTAGAAAATGAAGCAAATTGAGCAGTTCTTGCAAGATATACATAAAGGCACGTGACTTCTAACTGGTGGTTTCTGAGTTTGCCTTCCTGTCTTTGTTCTTCACTCCTGCAGAATGAATAGCACCAATAACTCCTAGAGTATTAACTTTTGGCTCATAGCTGAATACATGGAGCCAACCGAAAGCTGCTACCTTGACGTGGTGGTCGGGCTTGCATATCGCAATGACCCAACGAGCTACACTGGCTGGAACTTAAGTTCCTGTAGGTCCTGCCATGCCATTAAGGTTGTTTGGATAGCGGTTAGACAAAAAGCAGTTACCCAATCCAATGCCATGACTCACAAAATATCATGCCGGATCGGTCGGGGCCCGGATTAACAACGACCGCGCTTCCTGCTGCCGTGTCACAGGGCAGAAGTGATAAATACGCTACTGAGACACACCAAATAAAAAAGAACAAACAAAAACAGGCCGTGTGTGACCGGCCTCAAGCAGTTGTCCCCTGGGCTCTGCGGTCACGCAACCAACTTCCACGGTGTGGGCGGCCGGGAAGTAACAATCGCCCTCACAATCCGAAGTGCACGCGAAGCCTCTCTAATCCTCACTCATCTTTATATCCATCTTCATCTCTATTATCTTGCCTTCCTTCTACTAATGCAACTCCTCTACTTAATGGCTCTTCACTTCCTCTTCACTCTGTGTGCACTGAAAACGACGGAAGCCAAAAAGCCACCATCGATAGTCTCCTAAAGCCACGTCACCAATTTCATATAGGGGCATTTAATGTTAGGACACTTTGCCAAATAGGACAACAGGCATCACTAGCCAAGACTCTGGCATCCCGAGCCATTGATGTATGTTGTGTTTCAGAAACACGCATACAAGACCCAAGTGTGGTTATTCACCTAACCCCACCTGGCCAACAGGATGAATCTGCGAAATTCACCTTGAGGGTGTCAGGAGATATCACAGCTAGCTCACGAGAATTAGCTGGTGTTGGGATAGCTTTGAGTATTAGGGCAGAAAAGACATTACTTGACTGAACCCCGGTAGACAGCCGAATGTGTGCTGTCCGTCTGAACGGATCAGTGAAAAGGAGAAAGGACTGCACTACCCGCCGATGCCTTTTCGTAATCTCCGCCTACGCCCCCACTGACTGCAGTTCGGATGAAACGAAGGATGAGTTCTACCAAAAGCTGTCTAGTTTGCTGCGAAAGGCTAAACGCTCAGATATAGTCGTTTTAGCTGGTGACTTTAATGCTCAAGTAGGGAAATTGTGTCAATCTGAGAAGAATGTCGGTGGCACATACGGAATTCCGTGCCAGCGAACCGACAACGGTGACCGTCTCCTACAGTTCTGTTCAGATAATCATGTGTTTCTTGTAAGCACTAACTTCAAACACAAGGAGAGACACTGTTTGACCTGGCGACCCCCATCACCAAACCAACGCTGGACACAAATAGACCAATGGCGTGGGTCGGTAGGAGATTGTCGCTCCTTCTGGAACACGTGTGTAGATACCGATCACGCACTGGTCCGCGCTCGTGTGTGCTTACCACTGAACGGACGTAGGAAACAGCTGGCGGTAAACCCATCACGTCCCCAGTTCGATCAGGAAACTAAGCCCCTATTTGAGGAAGAAGTAGCTAAACACATATCTGAGTTCGACAGCTGCGCTCACCCTGAAGAAGCCTGGAAGAATATTCAGTCAGCCATAGATACAGCTGTAAAAGCTGTGAATAAGGTAAATCCAAAGGTGAGTAAAAACCATTGGATTTCGACTGTCTCATCCGAACTGATAGATGCTAGAAGACTTATTCCGGCGAGCTCCGAATTCAATGAGGAGCGAAAGCTGCACAAGAGGAAACTTACGAAAAGTCTCCGCAAGGACCGTGAACAGTGGTGGCTGACAAAGGTGAAAGAGATGGAAAAAGCATCGGTGATAAGCAACACCAGACAACTATTCAGGCTTATCAGGGAAACAGGTGGTAAAAGGCAAATGATAAGCGAAACAATCTCTGAGAAAAATGGCACCATAATTAGCTCCCAGGATAGACGTCTGGAGCGCTGGAAAGAACACTATGAGGAGCAGTTTAATTGGCCCACAGCCACACGTAACCTGCCGGACATCCAACACCTCCCTGAATGGGATATAGACACAGGTTCTCCGTCCTGAGGTTACTAAAGCTGTCACTAATCTGAAGCAAGGCAAAGCAGCGGGACCTGATGGACTGACTCCAGAGGTATTTAAGTACGGTGGAGACAGTTTACTGTCTGCTTTAACTGAGGTTCTAGGCAGCGTCTGGGAATCAGAGGAAGTCCCATCGGGTTGGTGTAAGTCACTGATCATCCCGATATACAAGAAGGGAGACAATTCTTCCAGTGATAATCACAGAAGGATTAGCTTGACTAATATAGTATCTAAAATCCTAGGCTCAATAATACTGCGTAGACTAAGTGGTGCTCGGGAGACACAAACACGAGAAAACCAGGCAGGTTTTAGGCCAGGTAGAGGGTGTATTGATCATATCTTCACACTTCGACAGATTCATGAACATGGGCATTCCTACCGGCGTCCGACAATCATTATATTTCTTGACCTAAAGGCGGCATTCGATTCTGTCGACCGAGAGGTTCTCTGGCGATGCTTGGCTGTAAAGGGAATGCCGAGAAAATACATTGCACTGATTAAGGCACTCTACTTGTACTCATGCAGCCAGGTGAGGGCTTATGGCGAGTTGTCATCTGAAGTGGTGACGACTAGTGGCGTCCGTCAAGGATGCCCATTATCCCCATTCCTATTCAACTTCATCATAGGTGTACTAATGGACTTAACCCTAAAACACTTCAGCGACTCAGGGATTGACTTGCTACCAGGGAAGAATCTCGTTGACTTAGAATATGCAGACGATATAGTCCTTCTAGGTGAGGACTCTGACAAAATGCAGAGTCTACTGAACACCTTGAGCAACAATCTTAGTATGTTTGGCATGCGATTCGCCCCTGTAAAATGTAAGATGATGCTGCAGGATTGGACTTCACCGACCCCTAGATTAGAAATAGGAAGTGAAGTGGTAGAGCACGTTGACCGCTTCAATTACTTGGGAAGTACCATCAGCCCCAACGGGTTGATCTCTGACGAAATATCAGCACGAATACAGAGGGCTAGGTTTGCATACGCCAGTTTACGCCGTCTCTGGCGTAGACGCGACATCCGACTATCGACCAAAGGGCGTGTGTACTGCTCAACAGTCCGCTCCGTCCTCCCTTATGGCTGTGAGACCTGGCCTTTGAGAGCAGAAGACATGAAAAGATTAGTTGTCTTCGATCATAGGTGTCTGCGTTCTATCCCCCGCGTGAAGTGGTATAATAAGGTGAGCAATATTGAGGTTAGGCGTCGAGTGCTAGGTAAGGCGGGGAAATCAGTCGACGAGACTGTGAAATTACATCGACTGAGATGGTTAGGACATGTGCTACGTATGCCTAGTCATCGCCTGCCTCGACGGTCAATGTTAGCTGATATAGGGCCAGGCTGGAAAAGAGCTGGCGGCGGTCAAACGAAAACATGGCACCAGTCAATGAAATCCACAACAGTTAGTCTAAGCCACATAGGGAGATGTAGACTTCCTGGTTGGGGTCTTCGGGACGGTAAAAGCCAATGGTTGGAAACAATTGGTGACATGGCTCAAAATCGTTGTCAATGGCGCAGATGCATCCACTCCTTGTGACTTATGATTTCCGATGAAACTGTTCTGTTCTTCTTTATTACTATTCCTTTGTCTCACACGTCTGTTTACTGTCTATATTATGCATTTCTTCTACTTCCTTCTCTTGCTTTGTGTGCTACATGGAGTGTGACGACTTGAACTGCCGCACATTGGTGTAAAGTTCTATGTCGAAAACCGACCGACCGACCGAATACATGGAGGTAAAAAGCACTGTGTAATTGTTTATTTTGAACTAATTAATTATGGTTATTCCCTGCTGTAAATGTTATTATCAATATCACTCATCCTACTCGAGTTCATTATGCAGAATGATTACATATAATTTATATATATAATCTATTGTTTTTACTTTTAGTGGTGTTAATGTGGAAAACGTGTTTGTTGAAACTGCTCGAAAAATATTCCAAAATGTTCAAGACGGAAGGTACGTAATTAACTAAGGTTTTACATTTATCATTCTAATTTCTATGTTTCATCAAAAATGTCTTTGGCACACTCTAAATTCTACGCTAGACGCATTTATTACTTCATGTTTTTTACGTTACCGCACAGTTTATAATAATACATATTTATTCCTATCGATGTAGGAACATACCAATTGTACAGGCATAGATAAGTTTTATTCAAATTATATAAACTTGGTTTATGTCTAATGTCTAGTCAGTTCCTATGATGCTTCTGAACTTTACTAAAATTTTCATTGGTTACACGCTGACTCTTATTGCTTTGACACTAAAGCGAATATCAAAATGTTGACATCGTGTATTTTTATGTATTTCTCGAAACAGCTGGTTATTAGAATCTGAGCATGGAAATAAAAAAAACAAATGTTGAATTTTGCTCTATCTCCTACTAATTGGTGCTATTATCTAACCAGAGTTCTTTTGATAGGAACTGATTCAGGTCTCTCAGCCGAGTCAGCCCAGATGTACCAGTGATCGTTTTGACTTCAAAGTAGCGAAACGGAGTTCAGATTACCACATGTGTGTATGACTTTCAGCTACTGTTACCGCCACTGATTGGTAGCCGTATTAATATGGAAACTATATGCTCTAGGCTTATAATTGGGTCCCTAAGCAAATAAGCCGCGTCGCCACAGGCTGTGTAATACATGCCAATCATGTATTGTCAACTGGCAAGTATTCAAAAAGACTAAAATTAGCTGACTTTACAATACTAACTTTGAGCAGCCTATCTTTTTAATTTTAAGATCATTTTAATTTACCCTCTCTCTACACTCTCGTTGATTGCGGCAACTTTGACTAATCCCTTTATGCACAGCATTCTAATTTGGTTTATGTTTACTGGTGTGTATGGAACTCTGTTTTGCGGTAGCTGGAATCAATAAATTGATTACTGAAAAAACGGACTTCGTCACACCAGGCAATTTACTAAGGATACGTCTTTGTAGGTAATATTTTTTAACAGCACTAGTGTCATATTTTCTGTTTTATATTTTTAGAGAAGTGTGTTAATTCAAAATGCAAAGTGCTGCTACACTCCGTTTTCAACCTCGAAAGCATAACTAGAACACTTATTGGTCACGTCTCAGATGTAGTACTACAAATTAATAAAGTTTGAGTCTGTAAAAAACTAAATAGTAATAATAATGACAACAGCAATGCACTCACAAAATATGTACAAATCTGTAGTTTAGTAATATTCTTATTTGTTGTAAGTAGGTAGTTCGACTCCTCATGCTTTTTTAGGTTGACAATTTGGAGACTTGTGATTTAGTAGGTTGATATTATGACACAGCTGTACGACAATGCTGCATGCCAAGTAATACACAACGGGAAACTTACGGAATTTTTCGAAGTGAGGACAGGAATAAGACAAGGCAGCCTACTATCGCCAATGATTTTCCTGATTGCAGTAGACTGGATAATGCGACAAACAGCGGACAATGAGGAAACAGGCATAAAATGGACTCAAACAAAAAGCTTGGAGGATCTGGACTTCGCCGATGATATATATCTGATTTCCCACAAACTGGAAGATATGCAGGCGAAAAGCAACAAGTTGGCAGAAGAAGCATCAAAGATAGGACTTCAGGTGAACATAGAGAAAACAGAGGTGATGAAGATTCCCGGGCAACACCACCAACAGCAACAACAACAGACAACAATCAGCATAAATGGGAGGAACCTGGAGGAAACAACCTCCTTTACTTACCCACCCAACTGGGAAGCATCATTTCAACTACAGGCGGAACTGACGAGGATATCAAAGCAAGGATCGGGAAAGCAAGACAAGCTTTCACTACTCTCAAGTCTGTGTGGAGGTCAACAACACTCAGCATCAAAAATGAGATCTGGATTTTCAACTCCAATGTGAAGTCAGTGCTACTATACGGATCAGAGACTTGGCCAGTGCGTCATAAAGAGCATCTCAAACAAACTACAGACCTTCATTAACAGTTGTCTTCGCTCAATACTCAAGATCAGATGGCCGGCCAGAAAAGATCAGCATCTCTGGGAGCGAACCAACCAGAAACCGATTGTGAAACAAATAAGCAGGAAGAAATGGAGATGGACTGGCCATACTCTGAGGAAACCATCAAGTGACATCAAACGCCAGGCCGTCACTCGAGTGGAACCCGAAAGGGAAGCGGCGAGTTGGTCGTCAGTACAAGGGTGACTTGGAGGAGGTCGTGTGAAGAGGAGATGAAAACGTGTGGGCAGACTTTGAGCCAGGTGAAAACTCTAGCAGAGAACCGAACTCAATGGAGACGCACGGTTGAAGCCCTATGTTCCTCTAGGAATTAAATGAAAAAATTATAATAATATTATGATACTCAGACTTACTGTGGTACATAATTGGCGAAGTATTGATGATTATTACCCTGATTCATGTAGCACATAAGTTGAAGATCACACGTGAAGTTACCTTTACTGTATACCTACTGGTACTTTTCCTTTCATTCATCTGTATATGAAGCATGCGACTGGGAACAGTTAAGACTGACTGATTGCTTTCAACATAGACAGTCAAGACTAAAGCACTGCATATAACTGCTTTTTATGTAGTATGAACCATAGGATTTTCAACTACAACACTAAAGTTATGTTACCACTTCAAACTAATTACTTATAAACACTTGTGAAAGTTGAATCCAAATAAACATGTTGAAGTATATACCAGACTTCCTGATCATTTAGATTTTCTGTCAGTTTTTGAGGATCAAGAGTATTGTTTGATATCGAAATGTTTGAATCACAGGACTTGACATAGTTACCTCACTGAAAAGCCTTTACCACAGTGATAATTTTTGGTAACTTTCAGTCTTTTCGCCATTAGTTTACTCCCATTCATCTCTCAGGTGATGTAAGATAATAGTGATATGGCTCATTAACCTGAACACTTTCAAGTGATTGATTTTCCGTTTAAACCTTACCTCACGTGCCACAAAATATCCGACCAATTACGTAATGTTATAAGCCCTTACACATAACATGTGTCTCTGAGCTTTGTACAAATCGCGTTCATTTCACCCTGTATGAAATTGCTAAAACCACTCAAGGTAGTTCAAACTCAGGTATACAACATATTCATCCTGCTATATATATAAATATATATATATATGTATATATATATATATATATCAGTGTATATATTAGCACAGTTAACTGGACTGTCTATGCCATTGTAATACTCAAGTTAGTAGTGACTATAATTTGATTTGTCCATCGGTGTAGTTAAGGATAACAGAAAGGTTGATACCTATATCGTTGATTTAATTTCAACTCGTGATTTATTGAATTACTCTACTATGGATAAGAAGTAATGTAGGTTATTCTGACCTTTTTCAAAGTTGTGACTGAATTTAACTGATTTCCAACCAAGTAATACTTAAATGAATAAAATTATCTGGTGACTAATCATTTTTTTAAAAATTTTCTTTTGGTGTAGCGTGTATCTAAACAGTGTTGATGGAGGCGTATTGAGTAAAGGTTCATTGGCTGCAGGTGCTGGTCGAAATAATGTTGAACTTAACACTTCAGCTTCTGGTGATAGTGGGACACGACAAGGCGGATGCGCTTGTTGAACTCTTAATTATCATGTGAAAATGAATTGATATTAGAAGGCGAAGATGGAGAAAAAAAAGAATAAAAGAGAAAAAAACTATACTCTAAAGTAGGAATCTATATTTTCCCGTGATCATGATGTACTACTCATCAATTTGTTTTATTTTACAAAAAAAAAGCTACTGCATCATTCTTTTAATTTTCCCTGCATATACATAATGTGTAATCACTGCAGTTGGACACCACATAACTTTGTCGATTTGTTCGTAATTATTTACTGTTTTTTTTTGTTGATTTGTATCTTTCTTTTGGTCATCATAAACTACTAGTATGTTTATACACGAAGATTTCGGCTTTAGCGATCAATAATGTGCTTTTTTCTTGTTTATTTACACTGCTCTCTGTCTATCTTCTTGTGTATTTCCGTATGTTTGTCTGTCTTCATTATGGGTGTATTCATTCATCGTAAGATAAATGTAGTCAATATGCCATTGGATTGATTGATTGATTGATCTATCCTCCACGTGTTCTACTCGTGATATATATATTAATAATTTTATTTCCTTGATTTGTTTCAATATTTTTCTTCTTTTTTTATTTTTAACTCCCTAGCGTAACGTAGTTTCTTATTTGCTATATGTTATCTGAGCATAGTCATTACTTGACGATCACTGTTTGTGAATTGTCCACTTATAACTGACCTACACATTCTCATATATATATATATATATATGTACAGATGTATTAGCACAGATAAATGTTACAAACTACTGTTTACATATGTCTGTGTGAGGATAATTTTTCGTATCACATTCACTTGGTGATGAGATAGCATTCCTAATTTTGTGTGTATCTGTACGTGTATGTGTCTTTGTGGGGTATTCTACCTTTTTTTGTTGAAAAAAGAAGACCGGATTTTCTCCCGTATAACACCAGTAACTGCATATTTCGGAGGTGACTTTTTTCTACGTACTCCCTCTCTCTCTGCCTCGTGAAGCTATTATGTGATACAATTTTTTTTAGTTAAACAGATATTCGTTATTCACATTATGAATTTGACAAGAATTGTCAGCTTATGCAATGACAGGGCAGGCAAGTAAAAAGTAAACATCATCTTGTCAGAGATAAGCATTTTCCTACTCAGCATACCACCACTAAAAAAAGGTGATATTTTATTCGAAATACTCTATTTTCTGCCCTGCTAAAAATGTAACAACTCATATCTCAGTTTCATTTATTCTTTTATTTGTGTTTCTTGTCTGACTTATGTATGTTTTACTTGTTTCTGTAAATTAATATTACTATTATTATTTGTGTGCTTATTTATTTCTCCCTACTCAAGTTTGTTCCATTATCATTTTTCTCATTCAACTATAAATATGTAACAATGATACATATTTTGCACATATATTCAATCAGTCGCCTAATCATCAATTCAGTCTAATTATATGGATTTCAATTTCCTGATTTTTATCTATATAAAAATGGTTCATGTTAACTTCGTATTCTTCATTCCCATGAAATGTTTGAATCCACTCAGTATCATAAAATAATTCTACTGCATCTCCCGATAAAAAAACAAACAGAATATCCCTACGACCACGAGTCCAAGATCACTGAAATCCATAAAAACAAACAGCAGAGAACACCACACCCTCTTATGCGTATAGTCTCCGGTGTTAGGTTGATCAGTGTGTTGAGTGATGATCAGGTGGGGAGGGAAATCAGTCGGATAGGCTGTGAAAGTGCATGGATTGAAGTGGCTATGATTTGTGTTGTGCATGACGGGCTCTCTCGACAATCGATGTAAGCTGAGACAGGACTAGGTTGTGAAAGAGTGATAGATGGTGAGACGATGAGATGGCACGAAGTCAGTGACTGTTGGTTTTGGCCAGGCGAGAAGGTGTAGACTGGTCGGCTGGGATCGTCGAGATGCTAAGAAGCAGTGGTTGGAAACTGTCAGTGACATGGTTGAAAACCGATCAGAATGGCACAGAAGTACCCGCTGCCTCTTATCACCTGGATTCTGAAAATCCTCACCAGTCTTTGTCTAACTATCCTCCATCGCACATATCTTCATTCACTGTGGTTTCATAGCATTTGGTTTTGCCTACTTGCATGCGTGATTCTTCAAAGTGTGTCGACTGGGACTGTTGCACGTCTGTGCTCAGTTCTACCGTGATAAGTTGGTCAGTAAATCTGGGTTTTACTGACACCAGTTTAGTTTGGTTCTGTGTGACTCCGTATGGGAAGTCATGCGTTGGTTTGCTTTTTGTGTCAGAAAGCACAGTTGTGTGCGAATGTGTCGATTAGTTGTCATTTCTGCTCCTAGTTTAGGGATAGTCAGTGAAACGGTTGAGTGTATTGATCACTTGACATATCTGGGTAGTTGTGTCAGCTTTAATGGACTGATTCCTGACGAAATGTCATGAGGTCTGGTGTCGGCGTGATATTGAGTTATCGATCGAGGGGCGTGTGTGGGGTGCGAGGCTTTGCTTGTCCTGTCCATCTGTACGGCTGTGAGACATGGGCATTCAGGGTTGGAAGATGTGAAAATATTCGATGATTTCGAAGGTGAGATTCTCCATCCAGTCTCCGGTGTTAGGTTGATCAGTGTGTTGAGTGATGATCAGGTGGGGAGGGAAATCAGTCGGATAGGCTGTGAAAGTGCATGGATTGAAGTGGCTATGATTTGTGTTGTGCATGACGGGCTCTCTCGACAATCGATGTAAGCTGAGACAGGACTAGGTTGTGAAAGAGTGATGGATGGTGAGACGATGAGATGGCACGAAGTCAGTGACTGTTGGTTTTGGCCAGGCGAGAAGGTGTAGACTGGTCGGCTGGGATCGTCGAGATGCTAAGAAGCAGTGGTTGGAAACTGTCAGTGACATGGTTGAAAACCGATCAGAATGGCACAGAAGTACCCGCTGCCTCTTATCACCTGGATTCTGAAAATCCTCACCAGTCTTTGTCTAACTATCCTCCATCGCACATATCTTCATTCATTGTGGTTTCATAGCATTTGGTTTTGCCTACTTGCATGCGTGATTCTTCAAAGTGTGTCGACTGGGACTGTTGCACGTCTGTGCTCAGTTCTACCGTGATAAGTTGGTCAGTAAATCTGGGTTTTACTGACACCAGTTTAGTTTGGTTCTGTGTGACTCCGTATGGGAAGTCATGCGTTGGTTTGCTTTTTCTGTCAGAAAGCACAGTTGTGTGCGAATGTGTCGATTAGTTGTCATTTCTGCTCCTAGTTTAGGGATAGTCAGTGAAACGGTTGAGTGTATTGATCACTTGACATATCTGGGTAGTTGTGTCAGCTTTAATGGACTGATTCCTGACGAAATGTCATGAGGTCTGGTGTCGGCGTGATATTGAGTTATCGATCGAGGGGCGTGTGTGGGGTGCGAGGCTTTGCTTGTCCTGTCCATCTGTACGGCTGTGAGACATGGGCATTCAGGGTTGGAAGATGTGAAAATATTCGATGATTTCGAAGGTGAGATTCTCCATCCAGTCTCCGGTGTTAGGTTGATCAGTGTGTTGAGTGATGATCAGGTGGGGAGGGAAATCAGTCGGATAGGCTGTGAAAGTGCATGGATTGAAGTGGCTATGATTTGTGTTGTGCATGACGGGCTCTCTCGACAATCGATGTAAGCTGAGACAGGACTAGGTTGTGAAAGAGTGATGGATGGTGAGACGATGAGATGGCACGAAGTCAGTGACTGTTGGTTTTGGCCAGGCGAGAAGGTGTAGACTGGTCGGCTGGGATCGTCGAGATGCTAAGAAGCAGTGGTTGGAAACTGTCAGTGACATGGTTGAAAACCGATCAGAATGGCACAGAAGTACCCGCTGCCTCTTATCACCTGGATTCTGAAAATCCTCACCAGTCTTTGTCTAACTATCCTCCATCGCACATATCTTCATTCATTGTGGTTTCATAGCATTTGGTTTTGCCTACTTGCATGCGTGATTCTTCAAAGTGTGTCGACTGGGACTGTTGCACGTCTGTGCTCAGTTCTACCGTGATAAGTTGGTCAGTAAATCTGGGTTTTACTGACACCAGTTTAGTTTGGTTCTGTGTGACTCCGTATGGGAAGTCATGCGTTGGTTTGCTTTTTGTGTCAGAAAGCACAGTTGTGTGCGAATGTGTCGATTAGTTGTCATTTCTGCTCCTAGTTTAGGGATAGTCAGTGAAACGGTTGAGTGTATTGATCACTTGACATATCTGGGTAGTTGTGTCAGCTTTAATGGACTGATTCCTGACGAAATGTCATGAGGTCTGGTGTCGGCGTGATATTGAGTTATCGATCGAGGGGCGTGTGTGGGGTGCGAGGCTTTGCTTGTCCTGTCCATCTGTACGGCTGTGAGACATGGGCATTCAGGGTTGGAAGATGTGAAAAGATTCGATGATTTCGAAGGTGAGATTCTCCATCCAGTCTCCGGTGTTAGGTTGATCAGTGTGTTGAGTGATGATCAGGTGGGGAGGGAAATCAGTCGGATAGGCTGTGAAAGTGCATGGATTGAAGTGGCTATGATTTGTGTTGTGCATGACGGGCTCTCTCGACAATCGATGTAAGCTGAGACAGGACTAGGTTGTGAAAGAGTGATGGATGGTGAGACGATGAGATGGCACGAAGTCAGTGACTGTTGGTTTTGGCCAGGCGAGAAGGTGTAGACTGGTCGGCTGGGATCGTCGAGATGCTAAGAAGCAGTGGTTGGAAACTGTCAGTGACATGGTTGAAAACCGATCAGAATGGCACAGAAGTACCCGCTGCCTCTTATCACCTGGATTCTGAAAATCCTCACCAGTCTTTGTCTAACTATCCTCCATCGCACATATCTTCATTCATTGTGGTTTCATAGCATTTGGTTTTGCCTACTTGCATGCGTGATTCTTCAAAGTGTGTCGACTGGGACTGTTGCACGTCTGTGCTCAGTTCTACCGTGATAAGTTGGTCAGTAAATCTGGGTTTTACTGACACCAGTTTAGTTTGGTTCTGTGTTACTCCGTATGGGAAGTCATGCGTTGGTTTGCTTTTTGTGTCAGAAAGCACAGTTGTGTGCGAATGTGTCGATTAGTTGTCATTTCTGCTCCTAGTTTAGGGATAGTCAGTGAAACGGTTGAGTGTATTGATCACTTGACATATCTGGGTAGTTGTGTCAGCTTTAATGGACTGATTCCTGACGAAATGTCATGA